GCAAGGATGGATAAGTTATTAGGAGGGTTAAATCCTTAGAAAGTCTTCACATTTTGGAAGGCAGATAGTCAAGAGAAAAAGACCCTCAATTAGCTGGCTTAACACAAGGACTACAACTATCGCATTTACCAATAGCATGTTTGAAATATAAAAAGTTTATGTTTTTAAAAGTTCATGTGTATCACAGTCTCTGCCCTGCCTAGGTTATAGAGATGGAAGATCAAGAAAAAAGGCATCATCAGGTCTTTTATAATGTTTTGGTCCATGTTACTACTGTCTTCACTTCTCAAGGTTTTCATTGTGTTTGATTGTGAAGGCCTTTTGGGTGTTTCTGTAAATCAAATTTAATCTTACACTATGAAATCCTGCACTCACCAAAAATGCTCAAACATATTGTGAGTTCTGACGACAGCCTTAAAGGAAGGACTGTCCTGAGCACCAGACATCAGTCCAGGGAAAGGAAAGAGCTCTCACCAGACTGACGTTTGTTGTGATCCATAAATGACGGGAAAAATCCGTGTCATCAGGCTCCAATGTCAACGTCATGTCCCCGTCAGTCGGCTCCATCCCCGTCCTGAGGCTCCCAGGCAATTAAAGACCCGACAGCAGGGCAAAGAGCATGGCTCTGCAGTTGTCAGGCTGTCTGCATTACTGCATAGAAAGCTCTTAACTCAGTGCCTAGCACAAGTAAATACTACAGCTACTGCTTCTCTTGTTTTTTATATTCTTACTACAAGTGGCAAAAAGAGGGAGCTCTGGTAGCCTAGTTGTAAGAATCTGCGCTGCAATCCTAAAGGCATGCAGTTCAAATTCATCAGCTTTGCTGGAAAAAGATGGGCAATACACTCCTGGGTCATTTACTGTCTCTGAAAACTCACTGAAAGGCATGAGGTTCAAACCCACCAGATCCTCCACTGGAGAAGAAGGGGCAATCTCCTCCTGTGCCAGTCAGATATGATTTGACAATACACACACAAAAAAGGGGAAAAAAATCCCAACACCCAAAAATAACAACACCACCACCACCACCACAAAGAAAATCCACTGAGTTTTTAGAAAAACCCTCCTGTATGATTTATTACAACTCAGTGGAGAGTCAGTTATGAGTTGGTTCTGACTCAACAGAACACAACAACAACAATGACAAAAAACAGTTACTTGCTTGCTACTGTCTCATAAGACCTTCTGCATATTTAGCTCAATGGTCAGTACATTTTTCTTTAAAACAGTCTTTGTCATATAGTCTGTCACAATTACTCAATTTTGCTTTTGAAGTTTTGAAAGTGGACATAGACAAGATGTAAGTGATACAGACAGAGATGTGCACCAATAAAACCTTTATTTACGAAAACAAGTAACAGGTAAGACCCAGCCTGTGGAGTAGGACCCTGATTTCACAGACTGCTGGTGTGATTTTCATATGCTCTACATAGGTTTGCAGGGACTAAGAAGTTATTTTACATTTATTAACACTGGGTAATAGAAAATCTCTTCCTCCATTTTTTATCCTTCCCTCTTCTTTTCTCTATAAGTGATCTTGTGGCCCTAAAAATATCCCGCAGACACAGAAAGTGACAGAAATGCTAAGTAAATAAAATGCATAAGGGAGCGTCATCACACCACAGTTGTGGTCAGGCCTTAGACCTTTACAGGTTGTAAGGTAAAAAGGGCGCAGAGAATCAGATGAAGTGAAACAAAGGAGTTTATTATCAGCTCTCTGGCAGGTTTGTTGTCTTGGGCTGAGAAAGGCTGAGTAAGGCAGTAAAGTTGTATGTGGGGAAGCTACAGGTAAAGTTTTACATGCATGGGGCTGGAGATAGGGTGGTCTGTTCGGTGGTCAGCCCTCCATGGGGGACGCTGATTGGATGCCCTCTGCTTGTTCCCATATATGGGGCTACTCAGGACCCTTAGGTGGGTTGTGTCATAGCTGCTGGTTAGGCAGGATGTGGCTGGTGGTCATACTCTCTTCTGACTGGTTGTAGCCATCTTACACCAGGCTGACAAGAATGACTCCCAGAAGATGCAATTAGCATGTAATGTTGCCCAGCTCCCAGGTGGCCTTTCACAGATGACCAAAAACTATCCCCCAGAGAAACCTCAAAGACAAGTAAACAACACAGAAAGAAAGGCCAGGTTCCCATTTCAGTCTTAGTTTCCCTTGTCTCCTAATTCTTTTCTAATTCATTATAGGAAAACAGTAATGAAGACATTGCTAGTTCTTTAAACATTTTTTTTAGCTAATTCCAGAGTACTGAATAGCAATGATGTCAGTCTGGAGACTAAGGTGCACCTGGTCCAGGCCATGGTCTTTGCAACTGCATGCTATCCATCAGAAAGCTGGACAATGACTAGGGATGACAGAAGGAGAATTGATGCCTTTGAGCTGTGGTGCTGGAGAGGAGTATTGAATATACCACGGACTGCTAAGAGAATGAACAGGTTTGTCCTGGAGAGGGTGAAACCAGGCTACTCCTTGGAGACAAGGATTCTGAAGGTCTATCTGTCATACTCTGGACATGCTGCAAGGAGGGACCATTCCTTGGAGAGGGACGTCATGCTTGGGAGAGTGGGGATACAGCACAGGAGAGGAAGACCCTCAATGAGATGGATTGACTAAGTGACTAGGGTATTGGGGGTAGGCATGTTAGAGACAGTGCGATTGGCACAGGATAGAGCAAGGTTTAGGGCTGTTGTTCATAGGGTCGCTATGAGTCACAGGTGACTCAATGACACATAACAATAACAACAACAATTTTTAAACCTCTCCATCATTAGGAGAAACACTTAAAAAGTCAATAATCACATCTAAGACAAGATGGTGTATGGACAAACCCTCTATTGAAGAGCTTACCCCTCTATATTGTTTCTCACCCTCTCCCTCAAGCTATCTGAGCCTCTGTAAGGGCAAGTGGAGAAGGAGCAACCTGATGGTTTGCTCTCTACTTGAGATCTGACACTGTTTGTGCGTGTCAGGGGGAGTTTTGCGCCACGTACAGAGAATTCCAAACAGCAGCCTGCTGGACTCACCTGCTGCTGGAGAGTCCTGTCTCTGTGCTTCACAGCTGAGGCATGGCGGGCACCGGCCATGTGGACTTGTTCTAGGCACCGCCTCCACTCCCTCCACCATATCCTGTTAAAGAGCAAACCATAGATGGGACCAATGAGAAAAGAGTCAGCTCAAGTCTTTGGGTCTCGTGGTACCATCTCTAGATGGGCACATGAACATAAAAAGCCCTTGAACTGCAGATTTTGGGCTGCTGAGGGCTCCGAGGTCAGATTCAACCTCAGACACTGCAGAAATGCTGCTGCTTGGCTTACACAATTTTTAAACACATGAATTATTACCAGCATTTATAAATTGAGTGCTTTGGAGTCTGACAACTATTGGTCAACTGGAGCCAACAAGTGGTGGTTTTCTTACTGACAGGCCAGATTTTCATTTTAGTTGTTTCTTTTCAGTTGGCTGCAGGAAAACCATGACTAGGGAGTGTGAGTCTGCAGCCTGATTAAACATCCACTTTTCCTGGTCACTTTAACCCACTCAGAGTTCTCTTTCCTTCTAACTCAGGCCATGCTTACAAGAATAATCCAACTCCCAAAATTCAATCTGTCTTGCACTGTGATCTTTTTAAGCACTTAAGGAATTGAAGTTGCCTGAATGCAGTCCAGTATCCAACACAGTGCCTGGGATACTATAAGCTCTTAAGTTTACAATGAATAAATGAATATATGATAAGAAAATATTCCCTAAAGACGCTAACGCTCTAAAATTGGATATTTATTCTTTTAAAATCCTTAATAAGTCTGTCTAGGTCTAACTTTCTGCTCTTATCCATATTGTGTACAGTGGCTAGTTCTTTTGGGCAGGGGGTGAGCTTTTAATATCTCACTATCCAGGATCCCAGAGGAACACAACAGACAATGAATAATGGAATCAATCCCATTAAAAAAGCAGATCATCATGACAAGCCCAGGGTCATAGTTAAAAGCATGGGCTTCAGTATTGGAAAAGTGGAGAGAGGTGAGCCCTTGTTTTGTCAATTACAACTCATACCAGTTTGTACAAGTCACTTAACCTTTGTGTGCCTTCATCTCTTAATCTGTATACAACAGTACTTGTACCATAGTTTATAAATCAAATAAGATACTTCACTTAAAAAATTACAACATGCATACACAAAATTAATAGAGGGTTTAGAGAACACAATTGTTGTTTCGTTGCAGTGAGTCAGTATCAACTCATAGGTGACCCTCCAGTAGGTTTCAGAGGTGGTAAACAGTGAAGAGGGAGACGCTTGTGGACTAGCTGGTGGATTTGAACTGCCTGCCTTTGGATTGGCAGTGCAACTCCTTAGCACTAGGCCACCAGAACTCCCCATAGAACACAGGAAGAACTAAAAAAAAAATCCAGTCCTAAACAGCTGATCTTATAAATAATGACTAGGCCTGGATTGTGCTGAAAAAATTATTTTTCATTTGTTTTCAATCACTCATATACATTTCATTAATTACAATTGTTCAATGTCATTATTTACATCTTATTGGTGTTTCATTCTCCTTTTCATTTAACCCAACCCATTTATTCTTTTTTGTTTTGTAAACAAACAGGCCTTTATTGCATGGTCCGAGCAGGATGCCAAGTGACCACCCAACCCATTTATTCTGAAGCATCATTTTAAGGTGGGTTTTCAAAACAACAGATGGCAAAGCCGATGTAAATCATGGGCTGTTGTTCAGTAAAGCAACTAACTGCACTTACAACAAGATGCTCCGGTGCCTAAACTCCATGGCAGCAGTTTGCATCTCAAGTTTGGTCCTACGAACCACCACATAGATCAACCAACGCTTCCAGGCTCGGCGCATCTTCTGCTTTGCATCTGATACAACAAAGAGATTTTTTAAAAAGGAGTTGGGAGAGATAAATTACTTTGGCATTATGTTAGAAGTTGAAATGTTCATCCCGCCTTCATATACACACATTCCTCCAGGTTTCAAGTGCCCCCTGCTGGCAAGGTTATGAACTGCAATAAAATTAATACTGATGCAAGTGTACGTGAAAATATTAAGTACTAACATTTACTGGAGAAGAGGATTGAATATACAACGGACTGCTAAAAAAACGAACAGGTTCATACTAGAGAGGGTTAAACCAGGCTGCTCCTTGGAGGCAAAGATTCTTAAGCTTCGTCTTACATACTTTGGGCATGTTGCAAGGAGGGACCAGTCCTTGGAAAAAGACGTCATGTGTGGGAGGGTGGAGGGACAGCGCAGGAGAGGAAGACCCTCTATAAGGTGGATTGGTTCTGTGACTGGAGGAGTGGGGGTAGGTGTGTCAGAGACGGTTGTATTGGCTCAGGACAGAGCAGAGTTAAAGGCTGTTGTACATAGGGTTGGTATGAGTGACAAGTGACTTGCTGGCACATAACAACAACATTTACAAAACATTAAAGAGAAAATAAACATGCTGTACTGTTCAGAAGTACAGCAGCCCCTGGTTTACAAATGAGATGTGTTCCTATGTCTTTAAGAATCTGTAGGTAAACTGAAACAAGATCATATAATTTTTATTTCATCTTAAGCACCGGCTTTTCCAAGGACTTAAAAGCTGCACATGCAGCATGTGAAGGTGACTCATGATGAAGGATGTGTTTTGAGTAGGTTGGTTCAATGGAAAGCTGGTGGATGGTGCTGTGGGTCTGGGATGATAACTAAGAGGTTGTTAGTTGTTGTTATGTGCCGTCGAGTCGCTTGCGACTCATAGCGACCCTATGTACAACAGCCCTAAACTCCGCTCTGTCCTGTGCCAATCGCACTGTCTCTGACACTCCCATCCCAATTATCCCAGTCACTGAATCAATCCACCTCATAGAGGGCCTTCCCCTCCTGCGCTGTCCCTTCACCCTCCCAAGCATGATGTCCTTCTCCAAGGCCCGGTCTCTCCTCACAACATGTCCAAAGTATGTTAGATGGAGCCTCAGAATCCTTGCCTCCAAGGAGTAGCCTGGTTTAACCCTTTCCAAGACAAATCTGTTTGTTTTCCTAGCAGTCCATGGGATTCTCAAAACTCTTCTCCAGCACCACAGCTCAAAGGTGTCAATTCTCCTTCTATCCTCCTTGGTCATTGTCCAACTCTCTGATGCATACAAGTGATTGCGAAGACCATGGCCTGTATCAAATGCACCTTGGTCTCCAGAGAGACACAATTGCTTCAGTACTTTAGAGAGGTCCCTAACAGCAGACTTTCCCATGGCAATGCGCCTTTTAATTTCCTGGCTGCTGGTGCCAAGAGTGTTGACTGTGGAGCCAAGCAAACTAAAGCTGTGTACAATCTCAATCTCTTCACCATCCATCCTGATGCTGCCAATTGGTCCAGTGGTGAGAATCTTTGTTTTCTTGACATTGAGCTTCAATCCATATTGTAGGCTGCAGTCCTTGACCCTCTGTAGCAGGTGCTTCAGGTCCTCTTCAGTTTCAGCAAGCAGGGTTGTGTCATCTGCATAACGCAGATTGTTGATAAATCGTCCACCAATCTTGACCCCACATTTCTCTTCATAGAGCCCAGCCTCCCGGATAATCTGTTCTGCATATAGGTTGAAAAGGCATGGAGATAAGATGCATCCCTGGAGTACGCCCTTCCCAATTTTGAACCATGCAGTGTTCCCTTGCTCTGTTCTGACAGTTCAAATACAGTTCAAATACAGCTGCTTCCTGGAACAAAGAGGAGTCAAGTCTGCTCTTACTAGGATTCACTGTCTAGAAAACCTGTAAGTCAGATCTTCGTGACCTAGGGGCTGCCTGTGCTTTCTTTCTAAAGCCCTTACATTTTGGAGATGTATTCTGAAATATTTACAGGTGAAATAAAATTACTAACACAGGAAGAGGAAACGTGAGCTAAAACAAGACTGAAGCTGGCTGAGGACACAGCAAGTTCACTGAATATAGTACAATTCATTGTAAATATCTAAAATCGTAGATTGTTAAACTTTTCTATCATATCAGAAACAACCACATACCCCGAAGGCACACAGTTCTAGACCATCAGATGCTATATCATATCATATCATATCATATCATA